GAACAAACCTTGGGCTTGAATGATGGCAAACCACCAATCCCCAGAGTTTTCTTCCTTTTTGTTGATCACTATCCATCTCATCATCATCCTCATTGATTGTCACAGACATTGCCAAAGATGCAATGGACCCCATATTGGCCATGTATTGTGCATGACACCCATGGGGAGCTCTTAATGCGGATCCACAAAGGCTTAATGGTTGAGCCAATGTCTTGTCTTGGATTACTTTAACCGATGGAGCTAAGCAATCACATATCATTCTGACCTTGTTTTTCATAAAAAGAAATCTTGAAGCTTGTGGTATATCAGTAGCAGGGTAATGCAAGCCAAGATAAGGTTCAAGATCAGGCTTGCGGCATTCTGCAACAACTTCCCCATGCTCATCCTCATGGAATTTATAAACCATAACTCGGTCATAACCTGTCAAATCCCTTACTTCTCTAACTAACACATCACACAACAATGATATATCTCCACTTGGCAGTGATTGCAACTTCGAAATGGCTTTAGCTGCTAGTTTATATGATTTCAATGCTCCAGCAGCTGTCACTGGAACATCTGCTGGATTGACAGGCTCCAAATCTATAACTAATCCAACATCAATTCGGTGTAAAATTGCATAAAAAGGCTTACCCGAATTTTTGCAGTGCACCAGAATAGGATTAATCAAACTAACTTCCTCAAAACTTGCTGCTTTTTCAAGTGCAGCAGCACCAGTTGACCGAAACAGTGTCCTAACATTGGTGCCAATAGTCAGAGCTTCCTGCTGTTCAATGCTTGGAACTGCATGTGGTGCCAAATCCAGCATTTCTGGTGCATTTTCACTAAATCCAAGGACAGAAAAGTTCTGCTCATCAACGGCTATCAAGCAGCCAAATGGTTGTATAAGACTTCCTCTTTGAATCTTCTGGAGATAAGCAGACATAGTTGAAGAGGGGATATTGCTAGTTGAATTGGATAAATTAACAGAGGTAGAATAATCAAACTGTTCCTCAGACTCCTCAAACTCCACATGGAGCTTAGCATCAATAGATGTCTGAGCAACAACGCGAGCATCATGCCTCGACCGAGCAGAGCTGCTCATGGAGCAGTTTGTCCTGATTGTACCCGATCTAGATGACATTTTCCAAGACTCTTTCCCTTTGATTTCTTGAACTTGTGTTTTTTCACTCCAATTAATTCCTCAGTTGATCCCAGCCCATATAGCAGGAACCTAATACAAAAAAAAGACTCAATCCTTTGAGCATGGAATTTAATCAGATACCACTCATTGAAAGGTTGATGTGAAACTAAATGGACAGCAGCTTATATGAATATCCTCTTTATTAGAGAAGATTAACCAATAAGTTCACGTAAAACCCCAATCAAGCTTCAATTTCCAAATTGTAAATTGAGAACAAACCAATAGCAAGTTATTTAATCAAATAATGTCAAACAAATTCATGGAAACTTCAGGACAAAAGTGGAAAGGAGGCAATAGCCACCAACCAATCGTCCTACTCCACAGTAGGCATGGTTAAAGATAAATTCAGTTTCTTTTTATCAGTTAGAATATCTCAATTCAGGACAACAACATAAAGGGTGAAAAGCAGAATAACTGATACCCACATCAATTTGTAGATATTCCAAACAAAAGCAAAGCCCTTCTGGATTAGGAACCATGAAAGCTGGCAGAGATTCCACTTTTTACTCAATAGCCCGCCAAAGTGGAGAGAACCGTCGGTGAAAATCGATTCCCCAACACAATTCTTCAATTCAACTTGGTTAATTTCCTCCACAAATCATTTGTAACCCCTCAAACTCCAGAAATTCGAACTAGTTTAACCTGAACAAGAGGAACACACCACGCCAGAAAACCACGAGCCGCTATTCTCAGTACTAACAAAATTCACATTCATACAAGCCAATATATAATTCCAAACCCCCAAAATCCCGCCCCAGGAAGAATATTTACGAATACCTAAGTCGAATTTTATCTTTATCCTTAAATTAATCCCACAAGACAGACGAAAGAACTACTGCTACGGATAGATTGCATACAGGATACAGCTCAAGGAGAGAGCGGCGCGTGGTGAACTAACCGCTGAATTTACTACGTTGTCGGAGTGGGAGGCTATCAGTTTCGGACTTTCAGAGCTCGCCATGTGAACGAAGCTGACAGAATTGTTGAATCCTTTTCAATTTCCATGGAGTTTGGCGCAGTGGTCCAACTGCTCGCTTAACTGGGATCGTCTGCGTTTATTCTCTTTATATATATTTGTTTCTATTTTTGACGTCAAGTGTCAACTAATCCGTACAAAACAACTATAATCAGTGTTTGAAATTTAGGTTTGAAAGATAATAATGCCTGTTTACATGATATCGGATTCTGCAAATTATGCGCCAGCAGCTTTTCAGCTCTGTGAGTTACTGATTCCGAAAAATAATACGTCGCCGCCGCCCTCCGGTGGTGCTTTCACATACTTAATTTGTACGGAATGAACGAGTTTAGCTTAATAATTCAATAGGATAGAACACACCAATATTCAAACTTTGAATATGGAAATTATGTTTAAAGTGGACATATTGACACCAACATTTGACATCATTGAATTACATCCTCCCAAATGTTCTGTCCAGACCGGGAAACTCTCCCCTACTGAATTGGAGTAATATATATATATATATATATATATATATATATATATATATATTTAATCAATTTAACAAAATTATAAGTCATGCTATTTTTGTTAATGATACCATAATTCCTTTTATAACGTCCGTCTATTTAATTCAACTAAATTCGATGATAAGAGAAATATGCATGTAATATCTAAGAGTATGTATATACAGGATAAAGCACACTCTTCTGTAATAATTCATAAATCATACACAGAAGATAAAAACATATTAAGAAGATTGCATGTGACGACCTTGACCAAGAAGGTATTGATAATAATAATAATAATAATAATAATAATAATAATAATAATAATAATATTTTTCAAGTTTGAAATGACTTGTTAGAATAATAAAAATTTTAGAGTTTTCTTTTTCTTTAAAATTATATTTAATGTCCACTTTATAGTTTTATATGATAAATAAAAGGTTTTGCCAACATTTATATCGACTATTAAAAAGACATTTTTAAAGGTTATTAACATTATCATGGATATTAATTATACTTAAGATAGTAAGAAACTAAACTAGACAAAAACTTCAAATTTAATTTATATCTAAAATTTATTGACATCTTTTATTCGTATATATAGCCTTCATAGTGGTTTTGAATGTTGGAATAATTTAGAGTTGATGATGGGGGCCAAAGTATATTAGGTAGAGGATTTCCAATTTCCATCAACGCCTATAGACTTGCAAGCTTTTTTTTTTTTTTTTTTTTTTTTTTTTTTCATGAAAGTACAATTTTGGATAGAGACCAGCTTTTTTGATTGCCCTACCGAGTACAGGGTACTGAACCAAAGTGGAAAGATTTTGGTGGCTAATATTAAGCAGATTAGTTTGGTCATTGGTGCATTACAGATTTTTTGGGGTAGATGAGGGTGCATAGTTGGAGTGACATGGATTCTGCCAAACTCATACTTCTATAGGAAACAGTTAATTACCGAAATGATTCATTGACTATAGCGAAATTATTAATTTGGTCATTGGTTAATTTTTTTAACCAATTAAGTCTCTCAATTTTAAAAATTTTAACCAATTTGGTCCTCTATTTGTTTGACTGTTAGTCAACCGTTAACTTGGGACCAAATTGGTAATTTCACTATAGTCAAGGGACCATTTTGGTAATTAACTTTAGGGGTGGGTAATTCGGTTTAGTTTTCTCGAACTGAACCGCACCAAACCGAACCGAACTAATTTGGTTCGGTAATATACCGAACAACCGAACGGTATTGGATTCTTGTATACCAAACGGTTCGATAAAAAACCGATCCGAATTGTTCGGTAAAAAATTGAAATGAATCGAATATCGTTTGATTTAAAAAAAAAAAATAATAATAAAATGAATAAATAAATAAATAAAGAGTAAATCCAAGTCCCTTAGTGCTTGCTCTGCCGTTCAGTTCATATTCTCACGGGTATCTCTCGTAAATGTTTTATTTGATTTTTTTATGGTTTGTTATCAAAAGTTTTATATTGTGCGTTATGGTGTTTACATAGTCCATATCCAAAGTCTAATATATAACAAAATAACAATCCAAAGTTCAAATGATATTCAGTTCGGTTCAGTTTTTATCGAACAAATTCAGTTCGGTTCGAGTTTTTACCGAGCCGTTCAGTATATTACCGAATCTAACTAGTTAGGTCGTATGGTTCGGTTCGAGAAAACTGAACCGAATTGCCCACCCTTAAAGTTAATTACCAAAATGGTCCCTTGACTATAGCAAATTACCAATTTGGTCCTAAGTTAACGATTGACTAACAGTCAAACAAACGGAGGACCAAATTGATTAAGATTTTTAAAGTTGAGGGACTTAATTGGTCAAAAAAATAGTCAAGGACCAAATTGATAATCTCGCTATAGTCAAGGAACCAGTAATTAACTCTATAGGAAATGATATACGTAATTCGAGTTATACTATATGAACTCCTAAATTATACTGTACTTTATCATGTTATATTCTATAATGTGACAAATAAAGATATGCTATTTTTATCATGTAGGTGACATGAAAAATATCTACATCAAGAATTTGTGAGAAAGAGTATAAGTTGTAAATATGGATTCAACTGGCCTACATCAATATAAAGTGAACAATTGTGAGAAAGACTAGAAGTTGTAAAGTGATCTGTAATGCCATTCATCAGTAACAACATTGTGTAAGACAGCACTACATCAATGCACTATCACACACTTTTCTGGTGGCACTATTTTTTGTGTTCCACATTCATTTCCCTAAACTATATAAGCAATTAATATCGGAAGGATATTCACACAACAACCAAAAATTTCAATCTTAAAAAAAAAAAAAAAAAAAAAAAAGATGGTTAGAAAAAAGATGGTAAACCAGCTTGTGATGGTTACTGTGCTACTCCATTATCTCTGCCCAGGTGTTTTCTCAGACGACTCAATTCCTATCCCAGCTAATAAGGATGAAGTGAACAGTTGGTTCCACTCCAATATCCAGCCCCCTTCAACTAGAAAGAACCTCAACCCTGAACTGGCTAAGGCGGAGGCTAAACCCAAACATATTAGGGTTTGTAAGAATGGGAAGGGAGATTTCAAAACCATTAAGGAAGCCATAGACAGCGTTCCCACTGGTAATACACAGCGCGTGATTATTTCAATCGGCCCGGGGAATTACACGGAGAGATTGAAGATCGTGAGGGAGAAGCCGTTTATATCCTTGCACGGCGACGATAAGGACCGGCCGTCGATCATCGGTTGTAGCACGGCGGCTCAAGACGGCACGGTTATGAGCGCGACGGTGATCGTGGAGGGCGATTACTTCATGGCGAGCTGTATCAACATCATCAATTCGGCTCCCCGGCCGGACGGGAAACGGAAAGGAGCGCAAGCGGTGGCGCTGACGCAGAGCGGCGACATGGCGGCGTTCTACAACGTGAGACTCCACGGCTTCCAGGACACATTCTGCGACGACAAAGGCCGCCATTTCTTCAAAGATAGCTACATCGAAGGCACCGTGGATTTCATCTTCGGGAACGGGAAAACTCTGTATGTGGATACAGAATTGCACGTAATCGAAGGCGATAACATGGCGGTGGTCACAGCTCAAGCGCAGCACACGCGCGAGGAGGATACAGGCTACTCTTTCGCGCATTGCAAAGTAACAGGGGTAGGGGAAGGGGCGCTTCTAGGGAGAGGGTGGATGGCGTTTTCCAGGGTGGTATTTGCGTATTGTGAAATCAGTGACGCCATTAAGCCGGAGGGGTGGCATGGGGTGCCCGGAAAAACCCACTATGGAGGAACCACATATTTTGGGGAATATAAGAACACCGGGCCGGGGGCTAAATTGACCGCCCGTCCCAATTTCGTGAAGAAGATGAAGGATCAAGAAGTGAAGAAATTCATCAGCTTTGGTTTCATAGAGGCTTCCAAATGGTTGCTTCCCCCCGCCAAAGTCTAAGCTCCCTTCCATCTTAAATATAAATAAATGCTTAATTGCGTTTATTTTAATTTGGTGCTTTAATTTAATAGGAGACAGTACCGGGAATAATAGATCGATGATGAAAACAGAAGAGGATTTTTTTTTTTTTTTTTTTTGGTTTGTTTTTGTAATGGTTAGTTTTATTTTGTAGGGAATTAAATAAGGGGATGGTCTACCTACAATTTTTAGATGTTAGCTACTGTTAGGATTTAGTTTTTTTTTTTGGTTTAAGAGTACGGTTTGTTATAAGTTATATTTTTATCGGGGAAATATAAAAGGACTCCTATTAATTCTGAATTTTACCTATTCTTGATCATCTTTGTCATGCTATTCAGTATTCTAAAACAGCCCATTAAGGAATTGTAAACTTTTATGCATGTGTTGTGTTTGACCTAAATGCACTTCTTAAATTATTAATAAAAATATATACATTTTTAAAATAAAAATAATTTCCTCAAAAAAAAAAAAAAGAGAAATCAGAATAGAATTGCAAAAGGAGAATGAGAGATAAATATCGTTCATTAATTAAGCATGAAGAACCAGTATAGTTCCTGCCCAGAAATATCGTCACAACGGTTATTGAGTACGTGCTCGGAGCGTTACAACAAAATGTTATATTTATTGATCAAGCAATAGCTGAATTTACAAATATAAGTAATTTACTTCCAATCTGATAATACTAGAGAGTAGATATGTACTTTATCGATTTTCGTATTGAGTGGAAGGTTACACCTAGAGGTTCAACAACACGAAAACTTTATTCTAAATTATCCTCTCCTTATCGGGCTCGGAATTTAAAGAATGGTTGCGACAACAAGCATCCATGGCTGTATTACCATCAAATGTTGTTGAAGTGTCTAATTCTCAAAAATTAAGAGGCGTTGAAAACAAAGAAATTATATATTGAGGTTTTCTTATCTTTTCTATCTAATCTCAACAGGTTTGATGTTAAGAAAAGATCTCTGGCTGGAAGGTTGGCTAGAGATTTCTTGTAAAAACAGTTCAGTTCATAATGAGAATATTTTGATTTTTTTTGATACCATGCATTATTCTCATTATGCACATAAGGGAGAAGGGAGGAGCGGTATGACGTGAAAATCTCATGTACGGTACCGTTCTAGAACGGAGATTCTTTTAATTGAGTAACGACCGTAATGGATGTCGGCTCAATCCGAAGGAAATTATGCGGAAGCTTTACAAAATTGCTAAGTGATTGAGATAGCACTCAAACTTGAGACCTTCTTTATAGAAAGTAACAGTAATGCCATCAAACCACAAAGAGTTAATTCCAGCAATGGTCCTCCGACTATATTAATTTTCCAAAATTAGTCATCGAGTTTTAATTTGAACACCCTTGACTTTCAATTTCTTTTCAATTGAGTTCCTTTCGTCAAATTACGATAAATTGGACTTTAAATAAAAGGGTAAATTAGTCATTTCATCTGCCTAATGTATAATTATTCGTATTTCTCCCTTATATGCGCGACTTCGGACATCAGATTCACTTAATTGCTTAATCCCCAAATCCACTCAAAGAACAAAATTCCATTATGGATTAAGCAATCTGATGTCTGAAGTCGCGTGTACAAAAAAAAAATACGAAAAATTATACAATTAGGTAGATGAAATAACTATTTTACCATTTTATTTAAAGCCTACTTTACCGTAATCTAACAAAATGACCTTAATTATAAAGAAATTGAAAATCAAAGAATGTAAAGTGTCTAAATTAAAACTCAGAGACTACTTTTAGAAAATCAATATAGTCGACATTACTGGAATTAACTCAACCACAAAAGATTTGACTTGGGATTTTAAGTGGATAAACACTAACAATTAAATATTGAAAATTTTTTTACATGGTAGATGAGAATGAGTAGGATTTTTTTTTTTATTTATATACATTTATGTACTGTACTCAATTTATTTGTTTATTATATTATATACTAAATTCAATTTTATTATTTTTAAAAATACAAACATCTATGTTAAGAAATTCTATCTTTATATTAATTCAGTTTTTTTTGAATGCTACTGACTCTCCTACTGAAACACAAATAGCCAATAACGCCTTCACTGAGGCTCGAACTCACAACCTTCCAAATGAAAATCCAACCCGGGTACCACTAGACTATATAGTCTTGGTATATTAATTCAGTTATTAATTTTAGTTTCCAATATTAATATTTTTTAATAGCACAACAGTAACTTTTATGATATATATACATACATAAAATCTAAAAAAGTCTATATTAAAAACATTTATACAGAGTATACTTTTATTAATTTTTATGAACTTTTTTATTTTAAAAAATCTATAAAGTCATTAAAACTCTAAATTGAATACATTCATACAATTTCAATGACTTTGATTTTTACTATTTATAATTTTTTTTTATAAAAAATATTTTATAAACATAAATTTTTTCATAAAACTCTCATTATATATCTTCTTCCTTTACAACATTCTCAACTTCATTACTTTATCAATGGTAGGGTGAGATATTATATGCAAATCACTTTTTATATATATATATATATATATATATATATATATATATAATCACCTGCAAAAAAAAAAAAAAATAACTATTTTATACTCCGTATAAAAAGTCGATCATAACAATATTGAATACAAAAAATTATAGTAACAAAACTATTCAAATAAAATATTTGAAAAGATATAGTTGCTAGTTGTATAAAATACAAAATTTAAAAATATAATAATATGATTAATATAATAATTTTGAACTAAAAATACAATTGCAAAGTGCAAACAACATGCAAAGAGTTGTTGGGCAAATTATGCTGTGCATCCGTATGCACTGGTGCATACGGATGCAAAAACGACGTTGTTTTAATAAAACGCGCGTCTCCCCTTTAAAAAAAAAATCAGGTTCGATTCCCAGCAACAACATATGAACTAAAATTCCATAATCGATGAACTATAATTCCATAATCAATGAACTATAATTCCATAATCTAATCTATGAACTAAACATTCCAGAATGAATGAATTAAAATTCCATAATCTATAAACTAAAATTTCAGAATCGATGAACTACAATTCCATAATCGATGAACTATAATTCCATAATCAATGAACTATAATTCCATAATCTATGAACTAAAATTCCAGAATGAATGAACAATATAATGTTGTTGCTGGGAATCGAACCTGAATTTTTTTTAAAGGGGAGACGCGCGTTTTTTAATAAAACGACGTCGTTTTGGCATCGGTATGCACCATGCATGGTGCATACGGATGCACAGCATAATGATTGGAGTTGTTGTTCACAACACCAATTCGGAATTGCGAACAACAATACCTTGTTTATGTTCGCAGTACGTACCAAATTGTTCCGATAGTCCGCTTAAAAAAAAAGATTATACTACAAATATAAATATAAAAAAATAAAAATAAAATATATAAGTATTTATTAATATTATTAAACATATAGTAAAATTTGATGATGATATATGAAAAGTTTATTTTGTTCAATTAAATACAAATTAAATATACTTTAGTCTTTCTAATTATATTTTGCCTAAATATGCTAATTAATAATTCAATTAGCAAACTGTTAGGATGTTACTTATTAATTATTATAAGTAAGATATATTGCAGACTACAATAACTTATACTTTACCACAAGTTTTAATGGTAATCCATTCCTTAGTAACTGGCTTGACTAAATCAACATATTGAGAGAGCCACATTCCCAGAATCCCACCCGCCTTTCACTCCTCTTCTTTTGCTATTTTGTGGTGCTTTGTTTAGCAACCCAGGATATAAAAGCTCAAGGCCGGAGAGTTCATAGAAACAACATCTATCTTCACATTTACAAAACATCTTCCTTTCCAATAATTTCAACAACCAAAAAAAACAAAACACAAAAAAAAAAAAAAAAAAAAAAAAAACTTGATTCCTTAGTGATCATGGCGACAGTAACACAAAATCTTGTGATTATTCGGCTGCTGCTGCTTGTGCTTTGTGCTGTCTCAGACGACACGGTTCCGATTCCGTCAGAAAAAAGTAAGATCGAGAGCTGGTTCACCGACAACGTTAAACCCCTTGCCGCCCGGAAAGGGCTGGACCCTGCCCTGGTGAAGGCGGAGGCGGAGGTGCAGCATCTTACGGTTGGCAAAGGAGGCAAATTCAAAACCATTCAAGAAGCCGTCAAAACCGTTCCTGCTAAGAACACCAAACGTTATCTCATCACCATAGGCCCCGGGAATTACACCGAGAAGGTGAAGGTCGATTATACACAGCATTTCATTACCTTCTATGCTGATCCTAAAGACCGCCCAAACATCATCTCCGACGGGACAGCCGAGAAGTTTGGCACCGTTTACAGCGCCACCGTCCAAGTGGAATCAGATTACTTCTCCGCCGTTAACATTAACTTTGTGAACTCAGCTCCAAGGCCTACCGGCAAGAAGGAGAAAGAACAAGCCGTGGCTCTCACCATTGGAGGGGACAAAGCTTCCTTCTACAACTGCAGATTCATTGGGTTCCAAGACACCCTCTGCGACAACCACAACAAACACTTCTACAAAGACTGCTACGTCGAAGGCACCGTAGATTTCGTGTTCGGCGACGCCAAGACTTTATTCTTGAACACCACACTGCACGTGATCGACGGCAACCGAATGGCCATGATCTCGGCGCACGGCAGGAAATCGGCGAAAGAGGAGACCGGGTTCTCCTTCGTGCACTGCACAGTCACCGGGACCGGAAACGTGGGGGTGCTGGGGAGAGGGTGGTTTGATTATTCTAAGACGGTGTTTCTGTTCAATGAAGTGAGTGATGCCATTAAGGCGGAGGGGTGGTTGGGGTTGCACGCCAATACTGCCGAGGGTGGAGGGTGCTACTTTGCAGAGCATAAGAATACTGGGGCAGGAGCTGTCGCCAAACGTCGTCCTAAATTCGTGCATCAGTTGACTGAGGCAGAGGCTAAGCCTTTCCTCTGCCTTAGCTTCATTGAGGCCTCTAAGTGGTTGCTTCCCCCCACCACAGCCAAGGACGCGGCCGCAGCCCCAGGCAAGGCCGGCGCGGCCGCGGCGCCAGGCGCAGCCCCGGCCGCGGCTCCAGGTGCAGCCCCAGGCGGTGCTCCGGGCGCGGCTCCAGGCGGTGCTCCGGGCGCGGCTCCAGGCGGTGCTCCGGGCGCGGCTCCAGGCAAGGCCCCGGGCAAGGCCCCGGGCGCGGCCCCTGCCAAAGGCAAGGCCCCCGCCAAAGGCAAGGCCCCGTAGAATTGGGACCACCACAATGAATAATATTGCATATGTGGAGATGATACATACACTTCTTTTTAATTCTTTTCTAGGAAAGGAGAGAGTGCTGGTCCATAGTTTGTTTTTTTTTTTTTTTTTTTTTTTTTTTTTTTTTTTTGGGTATTTGTACTTGGTCTTGACCGTCCTCTCTCTTGCTAAATAAAATATTAGCTTGATTTGGTATTTATTCTTGTTTTTAAATTTTACTCTTTTTCTTGTTTATCAATTGGATCAATTAATTGATTGTTATTGGAGTCTTTCGATTACTATTGGAATTGATTTCTTCTTCTTATCAATTGCATAAAATATTTCATCCTTATTAGTCTCAATTGGAGTCTTTTTCAATTAAAATATTTTCCTAATTAAGATTTTTTTTTCTATATATAAAATATATACCCTTTTTATTCTTCCTTATCACAAACAAGGAGTTTGTTGTAATTATCAGAAATCGCTTGCCTTATTTTCATTATTAATGGATTTATATGATAAAAGATCATATCTATAGCATTTTTGAAAATTATCTTTTTGATTCGATAATGAGTTATGTTCAATGATGTTGAAGAACGGATCTCAATTTAGACAAAAACGGATATACATATCATAATTTTATAATTTTTATGGATGTGTAATTATGCATGCAATTCTGAATGTATAATTATAAAGTTATAATTTCACATTTTGAATGTATAGTTGTGTAGTTATGCAATTTTGAATGTATAATTATGAAATTATGGATGTGTAGTTATCCATGCAATTCTGAATGTATAGTTATTAAGTTATGGATGTGTAGGTATGCAATTCTGATTGTATAGTTATGATATGGATGTGTAGTATACAATTTTGACCGAACAGAGGGGAGAGAGCGTGGTGCACACGATTGAAAAAACGACGTCGTTTTGTCGAACGAAGTGACTTCTTTTTAGCCTCAAGAAATTAACCTGCTCATACATTGATGGCCGGATGGGCACTAATTAATGAGCCGGGCTCCTTTTTAAGTAGTCAAAATGGCTTTATATTAAAGGAGCATAGTTCCTTGACATTTTTTTAATTATTTAAATTGAAATATAGGTGCGTGCTAAAATATTGCATTTTGCAGCAACTTAGTTTTTGGTTTTCTGTGGTTTGGAGTAAAATGCTGCTCTAAATTGCTGAATTACTAAACAAAAATTTTAGCTTTTTAATTACAGATAAAATATTAAAATTGTGAATTCATCAAAATTTTGGTGGATTGCTCATTCACACTTGTAAGGGGGTGTTTGGTTGGATGGAAAACATTTTCCATGGAAAATGTTTTCCTAAAAGTGAAGGAAAATGATGTTTTATGTTGTTTGGTTGGATGGAAAATTTTTTCCATTGAAAAAATTTTTCCTTAAGAACAAGGAAAATAAATTCCTAGCTTATGCTAGGTATTTTGTTTTCCATGAAAAACTAATATCACAATTTTACCCTCACCATTCTTTATTAATTACTCTTATTATTATTATATTATTATTATTGTGTAGTGTTATATTTGTCATTATACTCATTATTCCTTACCTTTCCAAACTCAACCAAACAATGAAATTCATATTTCCAGTAATTTCTTTTCCACCAACCAAACAATGAAATCTGTTTTCTTGAAATTTATTTTCCATGGAATTTCAATTCCATTTCCCTTCAAATATATGTATACGGAATATAAGAAACAGAATATATTCCAAATTTTGGGTAAAAATTCAGTGTGCTCTGTTAAGTCTGACTTTGAAGAAAGACAAAAGAGATATTAGTTGGAGCACATTTTTGACCACATAGACAGGATAACCCATTTCCATTCTTCTGCAAAACTGACAACTTAACCATCTATCCATCTTCTAATTAATCCTGAGAAATGGCTGCCAAACTGATTGTTGTTTCTTCTTCTACTCTTTCAACAAAGCTTTTCTCTCCGTCTCTCCCAACCAAGCTTTTCTCTCATTCTTATCCACCTTGCTCAGCGAGAAGAAGGCCAAGCCACTTCAGAGTTTCTGCAAATCTTGGTTAGTATATATAGTAGCTTCAATTCAGTCTACCTCTCTTTATTCGCATAAAACAAAAGATGTTACATATTTACTTAATTGTACTGTTTAGATTATATTATGCGATCGAATATTAAATGATTTTGTAAATATATATATATATATATATATATATATATATATATAACAAAATGGCAATGTTGTCTGGGCATTTGTGGTTGAGGATCCATTTGAATCTGAGAAGATGAGTTATGGTGATTTTAGGGGGAGGAGGAGAAGCTGGAGGTGAAGTCAAGAAAGGAGGTAAAAAGAAATTCATCACCAAAGAAGAGGAGCCAGAGCAGTAAGTTCATTATATTCTCAACCACTCAAATCTTATCTTTAATTCCTTTAATTTTCAAGATTTTGGTAAACAACCATAACAGATTAGATTGTCATAGCTCATAGCTCATAGCTGATCACTTCAAATTAAGAAGGTCAATTGAATTTCTGGTTCGAGTTGATCAACTATAAATAATCTAGGTTGATTTACCTGTATTCATTTGTCAGTTAGGATTACAATTGAATGTTGCACATTAATGTTTATATGTGTTGAGCATATAATATATAACCATTAATGTGCAATCCAACTATCAATTTAGGTTTTAGTTGAGATGGAGCAAATGCTTGAATTTGGTATCAGAATCAGACCAAAGGTCATGGTGCGACTACGGTCCATATTGCTTGGAACCCAGCTTTTAGTTGCACATGCTTCAATTATATGTAATTTGAACCTTTTATGAATCGAAATCTAACTACAATTCGTTTCATTATGGGCATGATTTGGAAGGTATTGGCAAACAGCAGGAGAACGGGAAGGAGAGAATCCCATGAAGACGCCGCTTCCCTATATAATCATATTTGGGATGTCAACACCATTTGTGATCTTGGCCATTGCTTTTGCCAATGGCTGGATTAAGGTTCCGGTCAGGTGATACTACGGTTACGAGAAAGGCACGCGCCGCCGCGGCGGCGGTCGTAATCCTTATGCTTCCCAATATTGACAAATTCTTTATCTTTGCACTTACGATCTTCACCGAATAAATCAAAGAATGTTATTGAAATTGCTTTGTAGCAATTTCTAATTTTCTAAAAGTCCCCTTTATATCAATATAAATCTATTCTTACTCGCCCTTTATCAATTTTTTCCAATTTATCGATGAGCCGCTAAAAACAATAAAAAGTTTATGAGAGATTTTAATTTATATATATTGTTTGGCAAATAGAAAGTAATTATTGGGCCAAAATATAATGCGCCATACAGTATAATAAAAAGAAAAATTAAAGTTGACGACCGGCGCGGGGCTGCAGATCGGACCGGACTTGGGTGCTGCAATGGCAACACATTATTACCGGCCGGCGTCTTTACATATGCATATATTGCGATCGTAGTAAAGTACCCAACAACGCAACCATACAAGACTTTAGGCGGCTTTTGTTTTAATTTCCTTTTATTTTCATGTTGAATAATTATATATATTATATTAATTGCTCGTTATTGAACAGCTTTGGTGATTGGGGGAAGCAACCACTTGGAAGCCCCTATGTACCCCAGGGAGATGAAAGGCTTTACATCTGCATCTGTCAGCCTCTTAACGAACTTTGGTCGACCATCCATTTTAGCCCCCGGCCCTGTATTGTTATATTCTCCGAAGTAACAAGTCCTGCATGCATGCAACACGTGAACCATAGTCTGATATAGATAGTCAAAATCATAACCTCAAATTGATAATTTGACTGCACATTTACCCTCCGTTCTTGGGATTGGTGCGCATCCCCATCCACCCCTCCGGTTTGATGGCATTGCCTATATAGGTGTAGGCAAATATGGTCTTAGAATAAGGAAACCATCCTCTCCCTAGTACGGCAACCTTGGAATTCCCGGTAACTTGGCAATGTACGAAAGAGAATCCTGTGTCCTCTTTTTCACTATTTCTACCGTGTGCGGACACCATGGCCATTTGGTCACCTGGGATAACACGCAATTGGGTATTCTGCAAGACAATTAATTAGCTGATAGTTGATTGGTTTAACTGATATATAGCTGATGGGTATGTAAAAGATTCAAACTTTAAAGGGTTTACATACCAAAAAGATGCTCTTGGCATTGCCAAACACGAAATCTACGGTGCCTTCAACGTAACAATCCTTGTAGAAATGTCTATTGTTATGATCACAAAGGGTGTCTTGAAATCCATAGAATTTACAGTTATAGAAGGAAGCCTTGTCACCGGTTATGGTCAAAGCCACAGCTTGCTGATCCCTTTTACCGGTGGGCCTAGGAGCCGAGTTCTGTATGTATATATATATATATACATACATAACACAAAATTAAACAACAAAAATTACATGCATGCATGCATCCAATTGGTATTTGGATCTGCACTTACCCTGACGTCAATATTGACGGCTGAGAAGTAATCCGACAAAACATACAAAGTGGCACTGTATATAGTACCAACTTGAGCAGCCGTTGTAGCGGCAACTAAAGTTGGCCGATTCTTAGGATCTCCGTAAAGGGTGACAAAAGGCCTATCAAAGTCAATCTTGACTCTCTCGTTATACTTCCCACCGGCTATGAAAATGATGTAGCGTTTTGTGTTCCTAGCCGGAATGGTTTTGACGGCTTCCTGGATGGTTTTGAATTGGCCTCCTTTTCCGACCTTAAGGTACACCGGAGCGGCCTCGGCCTTAACGAGGGCAGGGTCCACACCCTTTCTGCCTGATTGAAGGGGTTGAACGCTGGCTCTGAACCAGCTCTCTACCTGAGACTTTTCTGCCGGAATAGGAACCGTGTCCAATGGGATAACACCGCCGGGACAAAAAACCAGAACACAAACAATAACAACATTGAGTAGTCTGACTGTCTCCATGCAATACTCACAAGTATATATATAATATATATATGTTGCTATTATTGTTTTTTTTTTGTTTTTTTTTTTTGGAATCTAAACTGGTACTTTTTTTTTTTTTATGATCGATGTTGTTTTTGTGTTTTTTTGTTTTTTGTTTTTTTGTTTTTTTGTTTTTTTGGGGTTTTTTTTTTTTTTTTGTTTTTTAATGTTTTCTGTTGTTTTTGCAAATGTCTTGCGGTGTGTTGCGAAGTTGTGGTGGATGAGGGTTTTATAGTACGTTTAGGTTGGGCAATGAAAGAAGATCAGAACAGGAGTAGAAAACGGGTGCCCAAAATTCTCTGTGGTTCATATATTTCTTCTGGACTAGGATTGAGGGAGTGAAGTGTGGACTGTGGAATGATTCCATCGTTGATTTATGATGCTAATATTTTTTATTTATATTAAGATGAAAATTTATAAGAGTTATAAAAATTAATAGTAATAATAATAATAAAAATACACACCGCCATCCACACACCGCCAAACGCACAACAATATATGCAACTCTGGGAAGGAACTCTGCTCTGGGTGGACGAGCAGGTATTTACACCATCATAACATTGAACTTATTCTTGATGATTTTCATGAAAGTTGTAACTATCTAAATTAGCAATAATGCAATAATTACTCAATTTGAACATTCATACATCTAGATATGACCAAAATATAATACTAAACATATTATTTTGAACAAGCTATTACAACTCCATGCCCATTTGTTCTATTTTTGTCTTAATATTCCTTTATAATCAAGGCCATTCAAAACATCGATAATTTTTTTAAAGCTCTCTAGCTAGTATCCATCTCCTTAGATTCTCATTAGCCTCATTAACTCTAAATCTATTTAAAATACTCCAAAAATCCGTCTAGTCAACAATTTATACACCCAATTTCAAAGATGTAAGCAATGAAATTACAACACATTTTGCATGCATGAAATCAATCAATAGATCTATATATAAGGTAAAAACACGAACATAAATGCAATTATATATCAATTAATCTCAACATAATTAATTTTAGAACAGTTTTGTGTAGAGTATTCATGGAAGGAAAAAGAGAAAAAGACGAGAATGTATTGATGATTGATCAATAAGTGAGCCATGCAGCCATGAAGACCCGCAGCCCCAGAACTAACCCTAACCACCTACACCAAACAAACAACGACCACACAAACTAATTAACTGATCGAAGTGGCTTTGAATTGGGGCTGCCGCCGTCGCAGCATTGTTTCTTATTGGTCGACAATACATTATTCTCTCTCTCTCTCTCTCTCTCTCTATATATATATATATGTATTGATCATCGTAAAGTATATATGCTAGGCTTGAGTTCGCAGGTTGTTTTCTTTTAATTTAACCTTGATATGAATTGGGTTGAATTGACTTGAACAGCTTTGGTGATTGGGGGAAGCAACCACTTGGAAGCCTCGATGAAAGCCAGGGTGATGAATGGCTTCGCTTCTGCATCTGTCAGCCTCTTAACGAACTTGGGACGTTTAGCCATGTCAGATCCTGCCCCTGTATTCTTGTACTCTCCAAAGTATGTCGTCCTGCAGACGGGCAAGATTATACTATAAGTTTGACTCTCAATGGGAGTGGTATATTAGCTTCATTATATTGGTTTAAGTCGACCAGAAGAACTTAAGTTGGTTTATAATCTTGTACTTCTTTGCGAACTAGAGTCATAAGGTCTAGTTTATCCACTATATATACTGCGCACTTTGGATTATTATGTTTAGTGTCCGGGATTTCACTCGTCACAAAAAAAAAAAACAATAATACAATGCTAAAATTAAGAGTTAATTCTCAAAATGGTTATCTGACTATGGTCTTTTATCAAATTGACCCCTTGACTTTTAATGTCTCCAAAGTGGTTCTCTGACTTTTGAATTTTAAGCCAAAATGGTTATCCGTTAGCTTTGGCGTTAAGTTGGTGTTAAAATGAAGGGCAAAATTGGAAATTTAGATTTTGCACTCTAATATAAAGCAATTTGTGATTCGTTTTAGCAATCTGCGCACATATTTCTTCAAATTAGTTTTTTGCTCTCCTAAATCTGCAATCAAAATGTGGGATAATCAACTAGAAGGCCCGAAATCTTTGCCTTGGGAAGTTTGCGGATGTAGTTGAAGATGAACTTTTTTGGCATTCTAGTTGATTATCCCACATTTTGATTGCAGATTTAGGAGTGCAAAAACCTAATTTGAAGAAATATGTGCGTAGACTACTTAGAGAAATCACAGATTGCTTTAAATTGAAATGCAAAACCTAAATTTATAATTTTACCCTTCATTTTATTACCAACTTAACGCCAAAGCTAACAGATGACCATTCAGACTTAAAATTCAAAAGTAACAGTACCACTTTGAAAAAATTAAAAGTCAAGGTATCAATTTAGAAAAATACCATAGTCGGAGGATGACTTTAGAAATTAACTCTAAAATTAATTAGGAAAACGTTGACGTAGATGATGAGATGACTTACTCTCCATCGGTAAGACTGTTGTGCACCCCAAACCATCCCTCCGGTCTAATGGCACCACAAATATCAGAATAGATAAATACGACCTTAGCAAAAGGATACCATGATCTTCCTAGTACTGCAATCCTAGATTTGGCATCCCCGGTAACTCGGCATTGTACGAAAGAGTATCCTGTGTCTTCTTTTGCACTTTTCCGAGCGTGTGCCGTAATAAACGCCATCCCACCTGGGATAACATGCAGTTCTGTGTTCTGCGCCCATGCAACAAATCCAAAAAGACCATTATATTAATCCATGCATTTTAATATAGCTTCAAATAACCCTAAACTTGACGGTCCCTCACTCCTGCCCTCGAAATTATGAGATAGGATAAATCACGAAATGTGCTTCAGGATAGGTCTGAGTGTTTAATTTGGTTATTGCTTCAAGGCTAAGATCATCCCTCATTGAGGTTCGAGCTTTAGATATTTTTTGGGTCACTACACTCACGCTCAACCTTTCGATTACTGCGTTATACCTGAGGCTGCATGCAGTTCTATATGTATACTGAATGAATGATAAGTTTAGATTAAAGATTTTACCAAAATGATACTCTTGGCACCGCCAAAGAAGAAATCTACCGTGCCTTCAATGTAACAATCCTTATAGAAATGTTTGTTAATATTATCACAAAGGGTGTCTTGGAATCCATAAAATTTACAGTTATAGAATGCAGCCTTGTCACCGGCTATGGTCAGAGCCACAGCTTGCTGATTCGGTTTACCACTGGGCCTGGGAGCTGAGTTCTGTATGCACAACACCAAACAACAAATTAAAAATTGATTTTTAGATAACCGGTCCTTGACTTGGTAAGAGTTTGATTCCTAAATCCTAATCATAGCAGGCCACTTGCCTTCTTAATAGGGATGAAAATAGATCAAGTCTCTTCATAGAGACCTATAGCCTGGCTTGACCCATTAAGTAAAAAGGTCAGACTTACTATATATATATATATATATATATATATATATATATATATATATAAATCAAATTCTAACCCTCAACATCTCTAAATTTAAATATTAATTTGTAAATCTCTGATCTTGCTTTCACCCTTGACTACGATTTTTGACTGTTATCAAGGTAAATTCGTAAATCTCTTTTCTTGGTCACTGTTGTCACTAATTCTTTTTTTTTTTTTTTTTTTTTTTTTTTTTCTTTTGATGGACAATGAGTATACAGACCCAGACCCAACTCAAACCTTAGATTTCTGTAGCAAGTGCATGCCTAATTTTCTAAAGTTCGGTTAGGTCATTCTGCCTATTTTCCTCCTTACATCTTAGTTTAGGTCGATCAATTATAGGTAATCTAACTTGTTTATCATTGAAGTTATAAGGTGAAGTTTGTACACACATCTGTATTTGTTTTTCTCATTACGTGAGCACAACTAATCAACTAACGTAGTGTAGGTAGTGCATGTTTGTTTATGTACTTACCTTAACGTTAATATTAACGGCCATAAAGTAATCCGACAAAACATGCAAAGTGGCACTGTTTACGGTACCAACTTGAGCAGCCGTAGCAGCAGCATCTATAGTTGGCCTATCCTTAGGATCACCATATAAGGTGATGAAATGGTTACCGTAGTCGATCTTCACTCTCTCCTTATAAATCCCACCTGCTATGTTAATGATATAACGCTTTGTGTTTTTAGCAGGAATGGAGTTGACGGCTTCTTGAATGGTTTTGAATTTGCCTCCTTTTCCGACCCCAATGTGCACTGGGGCGGCCTCCGCCGTTGTGAGGGCAGGGTCCAAACCCTTTCTGCCTGGAAGGGGTTGAACGTTGGCTTTGAACCAACCCTCTACCGCAGACTTTTGTTGAGGAATAGGAACCGTGTCGTCTGAGGTAACACTGCCCGGACAAAACACTACAACTACACAGACAATAACACTAACAACAACATTTATTACTACTGTGTTTCTCGCCATGCGAACGATGCAATATAATGTTCACAAGTACTGTTTTTTTTAGGGTTTTTGTTTTTATTGGATAATATGAAGATGTTTTTGCAAATGAATGCGTTATATATCTGCTTGTGAACATCTATATATGCTCAGGGTTTTATAGTTGAGGCTAGTAAAGAACGAACATCAAACAGGAGTGCATAAACATCTGTGGTTTGATTTCTTTCGTACACGTACACTTCGAGGATTTCTGTTACAATTATAGCATGTACGTGTAGGAAACATTTTTTAGTTTGCAGTTCTACCTGCATGCATCATATATTCATATACTCATAATGTTTTATGTTAGACTCCTCCAAGAATAATACTTTTGTCTCAGCTCATACTAGTTGTGTCGATTGTAAGTGTTTTCTTGTAAGCCTTGACTTGATCAAAACATAAACAATGATTGATCAGTTGTACAATTTACTTTTTTTTTTTTTTTTTTTTTTTTTTTTTTTAAGAGGAAAATCATACATGTTTACTACTTGAAATTATGGAATTTCCGACCAATTGAAAGTGATCTTAAATCAAGTCGAAAGCCTTGTTCCGACCACTTTTGGTATCCGGAAAAACCTTTGTTGCTATTTTCGACCACTTTTTGGTATCAACTTGACTTAAGATCACTTTCAGGTGGTCGAAAATTTCATAATTTCCAGTAGTACGTAGTTGTCATGGCTAAGGCTCGATATTCTGCCTCAGAGGACGATTTGGAGACAGTAGCTTGTTTCTTTGAGCGCCATGAGATAAGAGATGAGCCTAAGAAAGCACAAAAACCAGTGACTGATCTGCGAGATTCTGGGCAAGATGCCCAGTCAGAATCTGAGAAAGCTTGAAGCTTGAGTTTATTGTTGATTGGGTAGAACACTCCCTGGCCTGGAGAGCCCTTAATGTATCTTTATATGCGGTGAGCAGCTATCATATGTTTGTCAGTAGGTGCACTTACAAACTAACTGAGGTGATGCACATCGAATGTGATGTCTGGTCTAGTTGTCGTAAGGTATAATAGCCTCCCGATTAACCGCCGATAGCTGCTTGGATCAGACAGAGGTAAGCCATCAGTATGAGTTAAAAGAACTCCCGGTGTCATGGGCGTACGTACCGGCTTGCAGTATAAAAATCCAGCGTCCTCAAGGATCTCGAGAGCATACTTTCGCTAACAAAGATTAAGGCCAGAACTACTGAGTGTGGCTTCCATTCCCAGAAAATAGCCAAGAATACCCAAGTCCTTGATTTTGAAGGCAGTATGCATTAAGTCTTTCAGTTCCTGGATGAGAGATAGCTTGCTACTGGCCACTAAAATATCACCGACGTAGACTAGTAGGGCAATGAATTCTATACCAGTACCTCTCGTGAACAATGAAGGATCTGCACTTGATTGTTTGAATCCGGCCAACTTGTAATAAAGCAGCTGTTAACTTGGCGTTCCATTGACGGCTCGCTTGTTTTAGACCATAGAGTGATCTTGTCAATTTGCACACTTGATTCTGCTTCTCTGTTTGAAATCCAGGAGGAAGAACCATATATACTTCTTCTTTATGGTCACCATGCAAAAATGCATTGTTGATATCCATTTGATAGATGTTCCACCCTCTTGAAATGGACACAGCCAAAAAGGTTCGGATAATTGTCAAACGAGCTACTGGAGAAAAAGTTTCAACATAGTTGATGTGTAGCAAATGTGAGTGATGGTGAGTGTACGAGTGTGAAATGTCGTCCTCAGGGGATTGGGGGTTACGACACGCAATATGCAATCACAAGAAACTAGCTAGGCACTAGCATAAGGAAATCAACAAGAAGCTAAGGAAATAACAAGAAGTTTCAAGGATACGATCACTAAACAAAATAACACGAACACAAAGTAACAAGATGTAAACACAAAATAAAGAAATCGGACTCAAGCTAGAGAGCATTATCTTCTAGATGCATAACACAACCTAAGGATTGGGGAAAATCACATAACCAAGGGTTTGAGAGGATGCACGTAAGAATCCTAATCTATAAGTCACTCATGTGAGCAAATTAACAAGGATTAGAACAAGGAATTGCCACACTCTCGTGGTGAATCAACTCCAAGTTCTCCAAGAACAAAAAGCATCTAATTAAAACCCCCAATTTCCCCCATTTTCATAGGAAAAATCGGGTTTATGCAAGGAGTGGTTTGGAATCTTAACCCAACTCTCATTGAGGCCAAGAATCCTCCAAAACATGCCAATGAATGTTGTACACCAAGCATTAACAATATACAAACACAAATCCTTCATAAACTCAAGAACCCTAGGTAGGCAAAAATCCCCTTTATGCAATAATCACAAATCAAGCATCAAGATATAAAATACAACCCTAACTCAAGTCCATAAACTAACTACTCATGATTCAATAGCATAAAGAACACAAAAATATAAATGTAAAGCATAAACATTGCAAGATAAAGAGATAAGAGGGAGAAGAAAACTTCACTAAGAAATGAATGGTAAATCTTGGAATCCAAGTGTTGAATCCTTGATTAAGCTTGAAAAATGATAAAGAACCTAAATCTACACCTAATCTAACACTAAAATATGAAATGAAAGAGTAGAAACTAGTTAGGGTTCGAATGGGGTTCAGAACCATCAAAAAATGTGTCAAAACTCAGTTAAAATAGAGCAGAGACGGAGGGTTTCGACGCGTCAAGAAAATTCTCGACGCGTCGAACATTTATAGTAAGAAAATCACGACTTTCTGCCCAATCTCGACGCGTCGAGCTCTACTCTGCAACAGAACTCCGTTTTTTTGGCTGATTTTGACCATTTTGTATTTAGAATTAGGCTTCGATGTCTTCATGAAAGTTGTAGTCCTTAGAGTCTTCTTTCAAATAGCGCAGGAATCACTTCATTTGGACCTTCCTAGGCCGAGATATGGTCAAATTACCAAACAGTGGTCAGTTTTGGGTGAAATCTGTAGGTTTGGAACTTCAACTTCAAGGATGATTTTGACCACTGTGGCTTCCTTTTTAGGCTTTGATGTCTGAATATGAGTTGTAGCTAGTTGAGTCTTCTTTCCAATTCGACAAGAATCATGTAATTTGGATATTTGTAGCTCGATATATGGTGCAAAAACTAAGACATCGACGTGCAGGTCGGGAATTGCAATTGCATGATCTTTTGCTTTGGTTTGCTCAAATGACCAAGACCATTGCAAGCACCAGCCTTAGGCTTTATTGGAAGTGTTTTGCCCATCTCCATAGCTTTCCCTTGGCTCCCATTGACTCCAATGCATCCAAAATGCTCCATTTGACTCCATCTTTGTTTCCAAACAAAACTCCTTGCAAAATAACACAATTTAATCATAATCTCATGAAATTTGGAATGATCTATAAGCAAAATGGCTTAGTGAAAGGGGAAAAAATATAGACAAACAAGCACTTATCAATAGTCTATACCCAATTGTTGTGTATAACCTTTGACCACCAACCTTGCCTTGTGTCTCTCGATGGAGCCATCTGCTCTTAACTTGGTTTTATAAACCCATTTGCATCCTATGGGTGTCTTTCCAGTTGGTAGCTCTGTCAACTCCCAAGTATTGTTTTCCTGAAGTGCCAATATCTCTGCTTTTATGGAATCTCTCCAACATTGATGTTGGATAGCTTGATTGTAAGTTCGGGGTTCTGCAACTAAGGTGAGTTCCATGGTGAAAGCTCTATGCAAGGGAGAGAGACCATCATAGGAGATAACACGAGACAGAATGTGGGGAGAAGACCTCTGTGTGGTTACTGAATCGCTATAATAATCACATAGTTTGTTTGGCACATGTCTTTCTCTAGCTGATCGTCAAGGAGCTAGAGGGATGTCAATGTATATCTGATCATCACCTGTGTTTGCCTCATGATCACATGATGACTGAGGGATGGCTTCATCAGGTAAGGAACTAGCTACAGGTTCATGCAAGGGCTGATTCGCAGAGAGTTCAACATGTGGCTAGGTGGCCGAATTGTGGTAACCACTAACGTTGCTCCCAGGCTCAAGTTGTTCATCATGCATCAATGTAATGTCATCATTTGAAGGCTTCCCTTCGAGTTCCAAGTGTGTATTCAGAGGGATGTTTGGCTATGGGGGACTAGACAAATGTGGTGTCTGCACAATACTCTTAATGGATTGTTCTAGGAAAGGGAACTGCATCTCATAAAATACAACATCACGAGATACAAATATAGATTTGTCAAATAAATCATATAGCATGTAACCTTTGATATTTGCAGGAAACCCTATAAACACACACTTTTTGCCCCTCGGTTCCATCTTATTTCTTTGGTGTGGTAAAGTAGATGCAAAGCAAAGGCAACCAAAGACTCTGAGTTTAGTAAGATCCGGATCTCTGCCATATAGTTTGTGATAGGGGCTCAGACCTTCAATCAATGGGGAAGGAAGCCGATTGATCAGGAAAGCAGCATGTAAAACGCAATGCCCCCAGAATTCTATTGGGAGTTTGGCTTGAAACCGAAGTGATCTTGCAACATTAAGGATATGTTGATGTTTCCTTTCAACTACTGCGTTTTGTTGAGGAGTGTTAACACAAGATTTCTGGTGCAGAATACCCTTGTCATCAAAGAAACTTCCCATCTCAAACTCGTGCCCATTATCACTTCGAAGAACCTTGATTAGGACACCAAACTGAGTTGATACAAAGTGTTGGAATTTCTTTATTAAATCCCTGACTTCGGATTTTCTTTTCATTAGATGAAGCCAAGTGAACCGTGAGTAATCATCTACTAGGGTTAGAAAATATTGTTCTCCTTTCAGGGAATTAACTGGAAAGGGTCCCCATATATATGCATGAACTATATCAAAACATGCATTTGTTGAAGAAGTGCTTAGAGGGAAGGAGGACCGTTTGTGTTTAGCTAAATGGCAGACATCACAAGCTTTATTCGTAGGAATCAATCTAGGTAGATCCTTTAACAAATGCATTTTATTCATAGGGGTAGTGCCCTAAACGTTGATGCCAAAGCTCAACTCTAGGAGTAGAATCGGAATTCACCATAACTGCAGGCTTTGTCATGAGGTATAGACCCCTCTCTTGTTTAGCTAAACCAA